AATGATGAAAACAATTTTTATTGTTTTGTTTAACAACTGTGTCTTGATTAAATATTATACTATTTTATTGAATGACTCAAAAAGTCCCCAGTTGTAATCTTGGTAAGGGTTTGAGGCAGAGGACATAATAATTGTCATCTGAAATGCTCCTACATCAAACTGTTAATATGAATCTGAGGTGAGTGTCATGTTGGTGAAATTTGTGGTGGGGTTTATTTGGGCATGTTTATTATTGTGATGTATAAAGGCATAGTTTCTGGGTAATTAATAATATTAATATATTAATATTAATATTATTAATACTGCTGGCATATTATTAACAAAAAGATGTTCATTTAGCCATCTCTCTTGGACTAAAGACTCCTCATGGATCCCACTCAACACTTATATGCTCTTGGAAGAGTGGGCATTCTCAGGGTAGAAATCAATTCTGATTGGTTAACAATTAATAAGAGAATAAATATTATAATGAGAGGTGGATCTATTTTAAGGAGGGTCTGGGGTACATGACTGACCAGTCATGTCAAAGTCAAAGAGACTTATCCCATCTGACAAAAAGGCCAATCCACATTTTCTCAGACCTGTCTCAGCAGAACACAGTGGGACAGAATCCATCAATTCACCTAACTACCTTTTGAGTAGATCTGAGTTCTCTCTTTCAGTATTAGCCCTGCACTTCAAAGACTGCCTGAGTACCTACAGGGGCTGATTTCTGCCTTTTTTTTTTTTTTTGCTTTTTAGTGAGGCAATCGAGGTTAAGTGACTTGCCCAGGGTCACACAGCTAGTAAGTGTCATGTGTCTGAGGCTGGATTTGAACTCAGGTCCTCCTGAATCCAGGGCTGGTGCTCTATCCACTGCACTACCTAGCTGCCCTACGGGCTGCTTTCTGAAAGAGGAAGTAGAAAAAGGGAAAAACCTTGGTCCCAATTCAATAACTAGTTATAAAATACAAGAGAGAAATAATCATTTCTCTTGTTATATTTATGAATGCTTATGATATTTATGAAGATTTTGAGTCAAAATAAGGCACTACTAAGCATAGCACTAGTGGGACACACTTAGCAGAATGAATGGGAGGAAGTGAGGGTAAATTGTCCTTGCTTACAACCCCCCCCCCCAAAGTAATGAATGATGAGGTTTTAACTCCTATGTACCCAACACCCATATCAATTCCTCATTCTCACTACCTGCTGTTCAGTTCTTTATTTCTCTCTATCTCATATTTGACCCTTGCCGTCTTGACCTCCTGCACCAAATCTTGACTGCTCCCCATAAATCACTGCTCTTGCCCCTCATATTCTCCCTCCTTTCTTTCCTATCCTACTGAAGTCCCTGCCTATACCACAGAAACACTAAAGAAGTATGAGTGCATGCTTTCTTAGGGAGATGTTACCCAGTAGATGGAAAAAATAATAGATGAGCCTGAAGAGGCCAAATAGCTAAAGCTTAGTCAGTTAGCCTAGTTAGCCTAGATGTTAGTAGAGAGTAGTTCAGATACCCTGAGATCAGCAAAGATTTCCCATAGAGATGGAAGGTTGAAATAGTGTCAAGCAGAGATAATGAAAGATTCAATGTGGAGTCATAGATCCCAGCAGAAATTATGCTACTTCCGGTGGAGTACAGAGAGCAGCAGACAGAAATACAATGATATATACAGAGGATATTAACAACTCTGCAGTTCTGATCTTATGGAATACCTAGCTACATTTGTGTGTGGGCCACATGTTTCCTGGTGTGGGTGCCCACCATGCATGTACCCTCGTCACATGTGTCTCCTGGATGTGTGCCCTTCCCTACTAGTGGTGTGGTAACCTGTAGGAGAATATAGCCCATATATTGTCTCATGATTTGATTTGCTATGCTTTTGACTGATTAAATATGTTTCGCTTTGAAATAACATTTTATAACTGGATGGTAAATACCCACATCCAGACCCTTGTATCCTGGCTGCTTTGTATCCAGGCATCTAGGAAGATATGTCAATGGTACAGGCCTTAGTTCCCTGAGCCAGTTAAAAATTGAGAACAGTTCCAATATCTTTTTAGGAAAAACTAGCCTGACTTATGCATAGGGAGAGGTGTGAGGAAGAATACTTAGTATATTTCATACACCATCATTACCATTTGTCTAAACTATATAATAGCATCCTACCTTTCCCCCATATTTTTAGTTTTTTCTTCTCTAATCCATCTTCCATAAAGCTGCTAAAATCATCTTCCAAAAGCACACTGCTCTCTTCATAAATCTTCAATGGCTACACATTGCTCCTAGGTTAGAATATCAACACATCAGTCTTGCATTTAAACACCCATGCAGTTTGGCTCCAATCTGTCTTTCTTGCCATATTCCCCTTTACTCTCCTTTATTCACTAAATATTCTAGCCTAACTAGCTTATTAGATCTTTCCGCATTCCATCTCCCACCTTGGTACATTTGTTCAAGCAGCCTCCTATACCTACAAAGCTCTTTCTCCCAAACTACACTCCTCTGAATCCTTATCTTCCTTTAAAGACTCCACTCAGGTACTGCTTTCTGAATGAAGTTCATCTATTTTGCTATTCCCTGTTTTTAGAGTTTTCTCCCTCTTCAAAGGACTTTATATATTCTTATTTCTGTATATATTGTATCCTACTTGCTTAAAAATATTAGCTCCTTAGAGGCAGAGACAGTTTCATTTTTTTTTTTAATTTCCAGCACAGTTAGTACAAGGCACTAATAAGTTTGACAAATTAAACTGAAATCAATCAATAAATACTTGTTAAGCAGCTACTAACTGAGAAACATTGTGCTAAGCACTGGGGATACAAAAAAAGGCAGAAGATAGTCCACATACCTCAAGGAGTTTACAATTTAAGGGGAGAGACAACATGCAAACAAATATGTACAAAGCAAGCTACATCTAAGATAAATAGGAAATAATGAAAAGAGGGAAGCACTAGGATTGAGAGGAAAGAATCCCTGTAGGTGAGATTTTAGTTGAGACTTTAAGGAAGCCAGGGAAGGACAAAGAAGGGAGAACATTATAGACATGGGGGACAGCCAGAGAGAATGTCTGGAGCCAAGAGATGAAATGTCTTGTTCACAAAATATCCAGGAGATCAGTGTTACTGGATGAAAGAATACATGTGCAGGAGTAAAATGTACCTTACTTTCCAGAAGTCTGGAAATGTAGGAGGGGACTAGGTTATGAAGGGCTCTGAATGCCAAACAACATTTTGTATTTGCTCCTGGAGGCAATAGAAAGCCACTGGAGTTAATTGAGTAGAGGGAGGTGATGTGATTGGACCTGCATTTTAGGAAAATCATTTTAGTGGCTGAATGGAGGATGGATTGGAGTGGGGAGAGACTTGAGGTAATCATATCTACCAGCAGGAATCCAGGTGTGAGGTGATGAAGGCCTGCACTAGAGTGGCGGCAATATTAGAGGAGAGGAGGGTACTATCTAACTGTCAGCTATTTTTAACATGTAAAATCCCTGTTAAAGATCTGGTTAATGTTCTTCAGATTTTCTTGAAAATAGATTTTTATTATTATCTCTTATTTTTATATCATCTAGATTTCTGCCTAGTTCCCTCTCCCTCTCTCTCTCTGAGACACTTAACAAATAATTTTTAAAAAAGAAAAAGAAGAAAAAGAAAAAAATCTGAGATTGCTCTGACTCCTTCAAACTACTCTGGCAGTGGGATTTCCCCCCAAGACAGGAATATAATCATATAAAATTTTAAAATAGCAGAAAAAAGCCCACATGATTACTTTAATAGATGTGGAATATCTTTGACAGAATTCAGCTTTCATTGGTGTTAAAATGCCCTAAAATCAATGGAATGGAAAGGTCTTGATCCAAAATCATCAAAAGCATATGTTTCAAATCAGAACTAGGATTGAAATCTTCCTGGCCCAAAGGGAGGCAAAGCACGGATTTCTACCTCCTCCCACCTGGTGCTTGATATATTTCTAGACATTCTAGCTAATGAAATAAGACAATAGAAAAAGATTAAAGGCATGAACGTCCAAAAGAGCAAACAAAATTCTCCTCATATGTAGATGATATGAGGCATATTTAGTAAATCCTATAGATTCTGTGAAGAAATCAATTGAGATGATTAATAGCTTCAGTAGGTAGCAAGATACAAAATAAATGCACCCAAATCATTAGTCTTTCCACACATCTATTTGCAGAAGATAGGATGGCGTACTTAGTGAATCCTACAGAATTGATATGCTGTTACTTATAGAAATGAAAAGTAAGGTATTGGAGAATCAAATTTATAAAAAAATTCAAATTAATCAATGTATAAGATTTAACTAGAAATTTGCCAAGCCTCTAAATTTAAAATCTATGCATTTGGTAATCAAACCAACATTCCAAAATATTAGAAGATATTAACTATATGTGTGCATGTGTGAAGAGTAAATTTATTTTATTCTCATAAAACTATTGTTTGAGTTCTTGTGATTTATAATATTGTTAAGTCCTAGAACCCATATGAAACAAACTGTTAGGATTTAACATCACAAAATGTATAATTGATTAACACTCTCTACTTATGTTGTAACTTTAATATAAAACACCAGCATGTAGCAATTTCTATAACTTTCCACGAAGAATTTTGTAAGAGTATATAGTATAAGATTGGGACACTTGGTTGGTAGAGAGGAATGCCTACTGATCAATCATCTCTCTTAAAGCTATCTGAATGCTTACTAATGCATATGCCCAAATCATCTAAAATGAAGGCACCCATGTGGGAGACGGCAGGATTCTGCTTCTGGAAAAAATACACTGTATTCCTGTACTATCTGGGTGGCCACAGCCTCTTTCCATTGGCTGTGAAGCCAAAATGGGCAGAATCTTTAAAACTACCAGACTGGAACTCTCTCTCTCTCTCTCTCCCTCTTCCTCTCTCTCTCTCATTTTTAAAATTTAGCCACAATTTAGGCCCTGCAGCCCTGAGAAATGACCTTGGGGGTTTTCATGTGTTTTCTTTTCCTTTTTCAGTTCTAGGTATAGGTGGTGGAGTCTCTGGACCTGGGAGCTTAAGCCATAGCAATTTAGGAGCCAAGATTCCAGGTTGGATGGTGCTGCCAGCCACAAGGGAAACCCAAAGCCAGAGTTCTGAGGTGCAAGCCCAAGAAGACCTTGAAATTGGAATTTGTTAGAACTGTGCTACATAAGGCCTGAATTGAGCTGAGAACCTAATTCTTTCCTCACTCCAGAAACTGAGGTGGTATTGGGGGATTATTCTCCCCAGGTGGTGGAGAGAAAGTTTGAATGTTTGTTTTTGCTATATCTTTAAAGTAAATATATAAAAGCTCATTTGTTTAGTGGTTATATAGAACTGAGGTGTTAGGACCCCCTAAAATTGAGAAAGCATACTTAATGGGAACTTTAGGCAACAGCAAGAGAGACTAAACATCCCTGGACCTCCTTAAGGATACCAGAGAACTCTAGGGGAAAGGTGAAATATAACATACACGTCCTTCAGGTAGTGGGGGCCAATATAGTTACTGTTACACCAATAAAATCTTATCTCATAGATCTGATCACTAAACAACTTTTAGTAATTTGATTAATTGCTTCTTACAATTGCAGATTAGTGGGAGAGCCAGGACTTGGATTCAGGTCTCCTGGCTCCCAGTCTAGCATGCTTCCATTGTCCTTTTTTGCTTCTAGGCTCCTTCAAGCAGGCTCTGAAAAAAAACCAAGTATTTTCTAAGGTTCATTTGCACGTGTGTAAAGCTAAGCAATTTATTCTTTTTTTTTTGTTCCGTGCTCCATTCTGAATGTCTCCTTTATTTGTACAGTGGAGACAGGGATTATTAATGACCTGGTGACTGAGCAATGACTCTTTGGAAAGCAGAGGAATTGCCTGTTTGGAGATACTAATTCAAGCACAGCAGGCAGTATTTACATAATCTATTTGGTGTGCACTGAGTTGAGAAAAGTACAGCTGTCTCCTGGTATCTCTTCTGTACCTCGTACTTGGTTCCAGAAGGATGGGGATTCCAATGAATTGTGCTAAGTTGGCCAATTGACCTGTCAGAGTTATTGGCACTGGCTGTCAGTAGTGGCCAGAATGTTTCACTCTACCCTATATACCAGGAGGGTTGCCAAAGGAATATTTTCCAGGATCTCTGCCACCTGTCCTTTACAGATCAAGAATGAGAGACAAAGCAGGGGTTTGGAATTAGGCTCAGTGTTTGTGGGCTCTCAGTTAGAGAATGTAATTAACATGAGGAAAAAATGCTGTTACGAGGTGATAGGAACAGGAAAGAAATTGGGAGGTTGGGGGCCAGTCACCCCACTTGGGAAGCCCAGGAATGAAAAGATGGTTTGAGCCCTTGTTTGAGAGTTAGGAAAGCTGGATTCTACTCCCAGCTCTGCCACTAACTCTTTATGTGGTTTTGAGTAAATTGCTTCTCCTGTGTGGACCTCCATTTTCTCATCTGTCAAAGTCATGGTAGAACAAGATGATCTCTAGGTTTCACTCCAGTTCTGCAATTCTACTATTCTGTGATTTCAGAGGCTCTGGGAAAGAGGACATCAGTTTGAATTTTATAGACTATAGCCTGTGTTTAAAGGAGGGAATTCCCTATTACCTCAATTGATTTAGTGATAGAAAGTAGTCACATATGATGAGATTTTAAGACATGAATGAGATGTGCCTGCATCCTGATCCAGTTGAGATTCCAATGCTTTTCTATGTAGGTTCAAGAAGAGAATATTATGACTGACAGAATAAGCATGTTAACCAGTTAAGATTAAATAATATAAATCTGTAGTGAACCTAGTCAACATTGTTTCATGATTTTCTCCGTCTTCATTTAGCAGTACATATGGTAGGAGCGAAGCCAGCAGTTTTTGGGAGAGATCCAAAGCTGAGGTTTGGCAGGGCAAGCTTTTCAATAGGACAGGGGGCAAGAGACTAAAGAGAAGAAAATATAGAGTTGTACTGGTTTACCAAAGGGACAAGATTGGGGAAGGAGGAGAGTACAGCTAGTGCAAGGGTGGTAGCCTGGGAAAGAGGTGAAAAGTGGAGGAAGTGGAGGTCATGGTGAAGATGAAGAAGAGGCTTTGGGGTTGCAAGGCAGAAGGAGAGGTGGAATAACAACAGATTGTGATGAGATAAAGAAATTTAGAGTTCATGAACATGTAAGTGGTACATTTGGGGATAATACCAATGCCAAGGGCATGACCATTTCTGTGTGCATCTGAGGTAGGGTAGAAGAGTAGGTCATGGAAAATGAGCAAGTTGTAGAACTAGGAGATTAGAATATTTACATGAGTATCAGTATGTATGTTGAAGTCCCCTAATAAGAGAACAGGAGTTGGAGAAAGGAGAAAGACTGGGAGCCAGGACTGAACTCATCGAGGAAGGGAGGAATTTCCTGGAGATTAGTAGACAATTTAGCTACCAGAATCTCGATTGGGTGATAAATCAGGATTGTATGAACCTCAGAGGAAAAGAGGTGAAACTATGTTTAATGCTGGAAAGAATGGCCAAGTAAACTGTATCATTGGGAGGGAGATAGTTGTTCAGTGAGTTCAAGAAGATAGAAAGAGCAGAAAAGGAAAAGCTTTAAGATAAAGGCAAGTTTGTTACTTATGGAGCAGGCATTTCAAAGAGCACAGTGGAAAGAGTGGGTAGCGTTCAGTGGAACTTTGGAGGAATTGGGTTGGGGGATGGAAATGGTTATGGTGGCAGGGCAGCTGGGGGTTCAGAATCACAGGGAAGGGGAGGGAATGATGAGCTAGGAGCATGTTAATTGCTGAGGAATGGGTTCAGGTAACTTCATTGTCCATAGAGATTCAGCTGGAGGGTGGAGTTGTCCTAGGACATTAGGTAGCAGTGTGCAGCTGGAAATGGGGAGAGGGAGGATGTGCCTGGGTGCAGGCAAACCTGACTGGTGTGCAGTCTGGACAGCTGAAGAAGTTGTCTAGAGGGGACTTCTTTATTTCTAACATAGCATTTCTGAAACAAAATGCCTCATGGAATGTTGAATCTAGAAGGGGCCTTAGAGATCATCTATTTCAATATTTCTCATTTTTCAGATGAGGAAACAAGCCCTCCACCCCACCCCCCACCCCCAATTTCAAAGGTTATTTGCTGAAGAGCCAAAACCAGGACCCATGTGTTGACTTCTGGTCTAGTGATATTTCTATAGCAGCAAACCATCATTTAATGATAAACAAAAGAAATGATATCTCAGGGTATTGAAAGAAATAAAAGTATGTGAAGAGGCTGGGTGACAACTTGTGTGCTATGTTGTAGGGAGATATGTGGTGTATAGTGGAAGGAGTCCTCATTTTCTTCATTCTTCATTGAGACAATCAGCCTCTGGGGTCCTTCTAAAGTCTGTATTTATCATCCTATAACCTCATTTTTTTGGACAGGATTAGTAGACTAGTTGATGCAGGAAATGCTATAGACATGAGTCATTAGATTTCAACAATTCATTTGATAAAATGGATTACTCTTGTGGACACGATGGAGTGTTGTGTGCTAGATGATAGTATTAAGAGGGCTTCTATGGCTCAATGGTTAAACTCAAAAAATGCTGATTAGCGAATCAAAATCAAACTGAAAAGAAGTCAATAGTAAAGTGACTGGAAGCTCTGTCCTTGGCTCAGTTGTCTTCAACATTTTTAATAGCAATTTTAATCAAGGTAAGCTTTTTTTGAGTTTTAAGATGACATAACGCTGAGGATACCTAATGCATTGGATAACAGAATCAGGAGCCAAAAATATCTCAATAGATTGAAACTTGGTCCATGTACAATAAGATGAATTTTAATATGCATAAATGGAAAAGCCTACATTTGGATTTTATATAATATGGGAAGTTGTGTCTTGAAGTTAGACATGAAGAGTGTAATAGGTGTCAATTAACAGTGTGATTGCCAGTAAAAGTTCATATGATCTTAGGATGCTTTAATGGAAAGACAGTGTCTAGTATTCAGGGACTCTTAGCTTATGGTTCATGAACTTGGTTAATTTTTTTTTCCTTTTGATAACTAGAAAGAGAACTACTTTGAAAAATCATGATATAATAGTGAAAAAGAGCTGGACCTGGAATCAGGAGAGACATAGTTTTAAGTCTTTACCTGGCTCTTGATCCAAGCAAGTCACCTCACCTCTCAGTTGCTGTTTCTGCATCTTTTTAGTGTGATGGGCTTAGAGTGGAGGGAGAGGGAGAAAGGAGTGTTCTAGTAAATGTTTAACAACAGGCTCTCTGAGAAAAAAATGGTACACTTTTAAGTTTAATCTGAATTATTAACATTTTATCCAATACTTCCTTAAGTCTAGATGATAATAAAAACAATAAATCAAGCTGATTTGTAGTGTTTGCCAGTTTCCTAGGTACAAATGCACACATTGAAAATTTAACAATCAGCTCTCTCCGGCTGGTATAAATTGACTTTCACACACCCCTTTTAACTCTGGTATAAGAATGGGGATAAGGGCCATACTTGTGATTTCATTCATTTATCATATGTAGGAAACATTCCAGGTAAAGTACTCCCTGCCAGGTTGATACCTTCTTTGCCAATTACAGTTTTAGAGAGTTGTCTGGGGACCTTGAAAGGTTAATTGATTTGCTTAGTGTCACACAGCTAATATGTCAGAATCAGGATTTAACCCCAGGTCTTCCTGCTTTCAAGACTGACTTCTTCTTCATTCTGCCAAGATGCTTCATTCTGGCATTCTATGCTTTTATGGTTCTAAGTTCATTTCCTTCTCTAAAATCTTGTGGCTCTTTGTTAAAACCACTATTGCCCATTCTTCCATATTCTAATACCTAGTTTTTATTGCACTTGGGCTGCTGTTCCCAGCCTTCCCCATTCCCTCACACAGTTATTTATGTCCAAGTTTTCATTCTGACAATCAGTGCTCTTTCCATTCCTCGCTGGGTCAAGCACAATCTGAGTGCTTCAGAGCCCCTGGATGTAGGTGCAGATAGTGTGTAGACACTGAATAGGATTATCAGAGAGCTGTGATTGAAGCCTCCTTGTGCTCAGTGTTGAGTGATTCAATCAGTTACAGTTCCCACCTGTCACCATCCAGCCATCTCAAATCTCTTCACTCACACCAAAATTACATTTTGACAGAAATAATGCCACTCAAAGGGTGAAATCAGATCCTAGCATCAAGGGCATTTAACAAAGAGAGAAAGAGAACAAAAAACCTTTGCCATTTTAAGTATTTTGTTGCAAATATAAAACCCAATTATATTCTCTGTAGGAAGAGCCCTTTTTAACTGGAAAACTCTAATCAATTAATTAATAAACATTTATCAAGCTCCTCTTAGGTGCTTGGCACCATACTGGGAATACAAGTACAAAGGACTGAAATGATCCCTATTTGCAATGAACTTATATTCCAATGGGGCAGATAAAAGCACACACATACATGCATATGTATACAAATACATATATATGTATATGTATATATCATAAATATAAAGTGAACAAATACAAATATATACAAAGGGGGGGCACTTGTAGCTGAAAGATCAGGAAAGGCTTCATGCAGAAGATGGTGCTTGAGCTGTATCCTAAAGGAAGAGATAGGCAAAGATGAGGAATGGGAGCATTCCAGAAAAGGAATTATGAAAAGATGAGATGGACAGTGAAGAGACATGGCTATAGGAAATGAAGTGTGATGAATGAGGACAGAGATAAGGTCAGTTTGGCTGGATCACAGAGTGTGGGAGGAGGAAGAATATCTAATGAGGCTGGAAAAAGATTGGGGCCAAATTGCGTGGGGCTTTATAAGCTAAACAGAGGAAGGACTTTTACTCTTGTTTTGCATGTCATGAATTCCTTTGGTAAAGGCTATGAATGCCTTCTCAGAATAATAGCCAGACACCTTCCATTCCCAAACACTGTTATACTTAAAATAACCCAATGAGGTAGGTGATGCAAGTATAATTCCCCATCTCTCCTTTCACAGATGATCAAATTAAGACAAAGCTGAAATTATTTGCCCAGGCTCACACCATGAGTAAGTAGCAGAGCCTGGATTCTTATATAATTTATCTTCTGCTTCACGGTACAGTTACTGGGTATATGTTTAATCTCGCTTTTTAGTCTGTGAATTCTTTGAGGATAGGAACTGAACTCAGTCTTATTTATCTTTGTATCCTCTTCCTTACCATTTCCCACCCCCCACCTCCATTACCACACAATTCCTAGGATAGGACCTTGTGCATAATTATAGCTCACTGTTTGTTGAAACTTCTGTTGAATATACAAAGAACAGGTGTGATGTACAGCATTACCCAGGTTGAAATCACTGTTAATAAGGACAAATGCAGAGAACATTGCTGTCGTGATGATGTGAAATGAGAGTTGCATTGATTTCTGTTCCTAATATGCAATTTACCTATTCAGTTCCCTTTTGCTGCTTGGCACCATTCCTAGAGATGAAACAGCAGTTATATTTGAGGACAAGACCCAGGCTTATCAGGTTCCCAGGCCCAAGATGACAAATATGCTTGCTTAAGCCATATTCAGTGAGCTTATTCCCTTCTCCGCACTTCAACAGAAGACTTCTGGAGCATAAGTTAGAAAAAAAAATGCTAGACTCAGAGTACTCAATTAATAGTACTCAAAAAAGGCCTCTTGGTTTTATGGACACATTGACTCTCAGAGCTAGAGGGGGCCTTAAAAAAATAGAATGTTGGAACAAAGAACAAAACGTTAACACAGAGAAGAGACCTTAGAATCACAGAACCATAGAATGTTACAGTTGGAAGCAGGCTTCCAATCACAAAACTACAGAGGGGGGCCAGTAGAAGGAACACAAAGGAAGATGCCTTAGAATGAAGAGTGTGAGAGATAGAAGGAATTTTAGAACATAGAACATATGAAGTGGGCCTGGTCTGGGGGCGTGTATTCCTTTCCTACATCTCCCAGGAGCCTTTGAAAACAAAAAATAAACAGAATCTGAAAATGTCTTTCTAAGGGCCATTGCAGTGGGACACAAAGATATTGCTATTCTTTGATGTTCTAGATAAGGACTGAGTAACAAATAAAGAGACAGAAGGGTTGATTACAGTGAAGGGAGTGAATTCCTGTCCTGTTGAACTGGGGAGTGAAGCACACAGAGAACCAGTATATACAGGACCTGAGGTTTTCACTGCTGTTTGACTGAGGGCAAGATGCCCAACTTCTAGCTAGAGCTGATGCCCATGAGTGATTTGAGCTTAATCCCTTGGGATTACATTAATCACATGAACTATCAATGTCTCCCTTCCAGCAGTGGAACTCTTCTGCTAAAGGTCCTATCATCGGGTTTTAAACAGTTTTTTTTTCATTTTGAACTTAAATATAAAAAGACAAACCCTCTCCCCCCCAACATTTAATGCGCACTGTATAACATAAAGAGAGGATTCATTATATAATCATGAATTCCCATTTCAAACTGTTCACTTAAAAAACACAACTACATACTAAATGCTGAACATTGTTTTCAAAGCTACCCTGCTTTTCTGTGCTTCCTTTTGTTTTCTGCTGTGCATTGCTTTTTTCTCCCTCCCTCCCTAGCACACCTTAGAAAAGGCTACAATTACACACAAATAGCTATCTATCTATCTATCAATCTATCACCATACTATACATTCTTCTGTCTATAGATTCTTTCTCTGGAGGTAGACAGCATCTTCTTTTATAGATCCTTTGGTTTGAGTATTT